CACTCTTTCCTCCCTATACAGGGGGTTGGACTCGATGATCTATTGAGGTCCCTTCCGACCCTAACATCTATGAATCTATGAAACACCCAGCTAAGTAGGATCAGTTACACTGCTTCCTGACCTGTATTGAAGAGCTCTACCTGAATCAGGAAGTGCATGAGCCAACCAGAGGTAATACTCTCCTAGACTTGGTCTTGGCCAAAGGAGACTATCTGGTGAGTGACCTGAATATAGAGGGTAGCCTGGGTGATAGCAACCATGAAACCATCGTGTTCACTGTCCATTGCAAGGCAGACAAATCAGATAGCAGGGTTGAAATCTTGGACTTCAAAAATGCAAATTTCAACAAGCTTAGGTCACTAGTAGGGGAAGTGCTGCGGAACCAGGTTCTGAAGGTGAAAGGAGTGCATGAAGAGTGGTCATTCTTTAAGGACATGATCCTTGAAGCACAAAGGAAGTCCATTCCCATGCGGAGGAAGGTAGCAGAAGGACTGGGAAGCCCTCTTGGCTAAACAGGGAAAGCATGGTCCTTTTAAGAAAAAAGAAAAAAAGCATACAAACAATGGAAGCTTGAGAGATACCCCAGGAGAACTATACAACAATGGCCCACGCTTGTAGGGAGCAGATTAGATAGGCTAAGATAGCGACTGAATTTAAACTAGCAACAGAAATGAAGGACAATAAGAAGTCCTTCTTTAGGTATGTAGGGAACAGGAGGAAAACAAATGGGAGCGTGGGGCCATTGCTCAACAACTCAGGACAGCTGGTTACTGACACTCAGGAGAAAACTGAACTCCTGAATGACTACTTTGCTTCAGTATTTCACCGGACAAAGGGGAAAATTATTCTAGATAAGGTTCAGAATGGGCATGGTGGGAATGACCGCCTTCCTACTGTTGATGTTGAGCTGGTGCATGATCAGTTAACAAAGTTAGACATTTATAAGTCAGAAGGACCAGATGAACTTCATCCAAAATGCTGAAGGAGCTGGAAAAAGTCATTGCAGGGCCTCTGGCGAAACTCTTCCAAAATTCATGGCACTCAGGGGAGGTCCCTGAAGACTTGAAAAGGGCCAGTGCTGTGCCCACCTTCAAGTAGAGGAGGAGAGAGGACCTGGCCAATTAGCCTAAATTCTATCCCAGGGAAAATCCTGAAAAAATTCATCAAGGAGTCTATGTGCGATATGCTTGCAGAAAGTAGGATTCTGAATGACAGCCAGCATGGCTTTGTCGCTGATAGGTCTTGTCTTACCAATCTCATCTCCTTCTACGACCAGGTAACTCACCACCTGGATGAGAGAGAGGAGGTTGACATTGTATACCTAAACTTTCAATGATGTTCTTATGGGAAAACTGGAGGATTGCAGGCTTAACAGTGAGACAGTTGGGTGGGTAGGAAGCTGGCTATGAGGTAGGACCCAGAGAGTTCTAATGAACGGATCTGTGTCATCCTGGTGAG